CAGGCTTCCTAGAGAGGTGGTCGATGCCGCAAGCCTGTCAGTGTTTAAGAGGCATTTAGACAATGCCCTTAACAACATGGTTTAACTTTTGGTCAGCCCTGAGGTGGTCAGGCGGTCGGACTAGATGATCGTAGTAGGTCCCTTCCAACTGAAATAGTCTACTCTGTTCTAACACACCGGAAATTTCTGTCATGATCTGGAAGCCTAAAAATTCTGGAAAGCATTTATTGCATTAAACATGCAAGTAATAAAACCACACACTAAAAGCCCGGAACGCACACGTCTACCCAACTCCCTCAGGATCTTGGCTGATCCCTTTTCTTCAGACCGCACTTCTTGACTGATTCCTCTTTCTTTTCGCATCCTTCTTCCTGCTGTTTTCTCCTATTAATGAGCTGTCCCACCTGCCTCACTCCCCAAAACACTTCAGCACCTGACCATCTGTCACTGCTGCTGTGCATCCTTACTGTTGTAAGAGAAAGTATCGACCTTGAGCTGGAGTGTGTGATCTGTGATAAATAGCTTGCAAACTGGCAAATGAACCAATATTACAAATAACTCGCTTTATACATTGCACGTGAAACAGCAAGAAATGAGGAGGCTGCTAGGTCTAAATGCTCAATCTGTAAGTACAGTTCTGAGGAAAAAGATGTGTCCAGTAAACCTGCAGAGGTTTGCAATGTAACACATGGATTTGTGCACGTTCACTGGGCAGTGGGATTCATACCCTGCCCTAATAATGCATTTGATTTAGGAGTTGACCTCAGTTATTAGCTGCAGCTTTATATGAAGCTTTTGCAGATCACTTTGCAAATAAAAATTTGTAAAATGGCTGCACGAGCACAGTGAGACTAAATGTGTTTTCCAAGAGTGATTATTTTTGGTTTGCTTAAGACTATGTTTAGTTGAATCAGCAGAAGGGCTTTTTGACTTCCTTTCTCTGTGTAATTATAAGCTGAAATTCTAAATCAGCTGCTTAGTCATGGTAAATTATGAAAATTATGCTGTTCATTGGCAAGCTGTTGTTACAATAAACATATTTATTGCTTGGTTTTTTTTCTTAAAGGATGTTTCCCTTGAAACAAAAAGCTGAAGAGTAACTTAAACTGCAAGAACTCATGTTTTTCAAAATATCTGTCATAGTATAGGATAAGTAAACATGACAGGTGTTCAGAGTTTTCTGACAAATTAATTTTATCCAAGTCATTTGCAATGTTTTGTAAAAATTAAACCCAAGCTGAATCCAGTCTGTTACAACTACAAAACAAAATGTTGCAGTTTGCCAGGGGAAGGGCTCTATGTGCTGTCAGGTTAGGCCTCCAAGTGTAGGTGATCTTCATGTCAAAACTTGTCCTCAGAGTCCATGCCCTGTAATGGAGAAGATGCATTGAACCAATAAGTGCTGACTGCGTAAATCCAGTGCGTTGAAGGACAGCAGGAGATAAGGGAGCTCTGCTTCCTTGATATTTGAGGAAAATTAGAGATGGGCAACCATTGAAGAGGTCTGTTCTCTATGGGATGAAAGGCAGTCGCTGGTCCTGCCGTGGCAAGTCTTTGTGACCTGACAAAGTGTGTGATAATTCTGATTTATTAATGATATGTTTTGTTGGGGGGGTTATGTTTTAACAGTTTCATTCCTTGGCTCCAATGTACTACCGAGGTTCAGCATTGTGATAGTTTATGATATCACCAAACAGGTAAGACACTCTGTACACTTTTCGCCTGCGTTAACTCCTCTGCTTGGGCCAGAGTTGGAGTTAAAACCCACAACTGTAGAAGTATTTATATGTTAATCCCTGTTCATGTCAGCGTGGTTTATATGCTTCGATAGTTTGTGTAGCTTTGGATGGGGGTGTCCAACTGCCTTAAAAAACTAAATATAAAGTTCTGCTTCTGTGTTGTTTAAACTTCATCTGGACAAAAGGTTGGAGACTGCATTTGGTCAGAGTTTCTTTGGATTTCCTCTGGCTAAGTAGACAGGATAATATCCTGTAATACCCCCTCCCACTACCATCACCGCCTATGTTCTTTGTATGGAATTGAGTTTTTACTACAAAAAGTAGCTGGCTGCTTTATCAACTGAACAGAAATTCAGTTGTTTGCATATTACTGATTTTAAAAGTAATTATTTTTAACTAAGCATATCATCTCACGTTTGCATTGCAGGACTCATGTCTTAACTTTGAAAGCAGTAATGAAATAAGAAGTCTCTGACCTTTGTCTCAAACGTTATTCATTTGGAATAAAAATTGTATTTTCAGATCCTAAACTGCTATTGCTCATTTTTCAGGCAGAGGAGGCTAGGAGGTTCTAGCCAAATGATTCTTCCACTGCTTTTCAAAGAAACCCCTGCTGATAAAGCTGAGTTAGAGGAGGCATTAATGGATGGATGGTCATGACAGTTCACTAGCATTTTATTCCTTTCCTGCCAATTGAATTATTTACTACTAGGTTGAGAGGGCTGGGTTGGTTCTCCAGTGCATTAGTGTAATGATCTGTGGCTGATGATGGTGGCCACTGTTGCACAGCGGTACTGTTCTCCTTTGCTAATTTGCCAAGAAAAGATGAGGAAGAGTGAATCGTGCTGGATTGATACTTATTTTTGATTTAAATATCTTACAGTTGATCTCGTAACACATTGTAAGAATAGAATTTTGTTTTGCCAGCCTTTCTCCAAGTTTATGTGGAACAGCTCTCAGAATAAAGAGGGGAAAATAGGAGAGGAAGGTCAACGTGTATTTCACTTTCTGATACTTAATATTCAGCATTGATCATTAAAGCAGAACGGATGTTTTTTTCCCAAATGACTGATAGTGCTCTCCCTTCAGTGATACCGATACGGCTATTGCTGATTAGACACAACTCTTATGTGCATTTCTGAAGGGGAAAAAATGGTTTATAATATATTTAGGAGCTCACTTGGAGTTTCAGTAATAATTTCAACCATGCGTTATAATTAGAATCTCTAGGAACAAAAGTGATTTTGATGCTATTAGAAATCATTAGTGTAAAGAAATAGAAAATTTCCTATTAAAAGGTAAGTAGCATCAAAAAGCGTTTGAGTTTTGTACTTGGAGGGAAAAAGCCAAGTGAATTGTCACCTGTCTCTTTGGTTTCATAATGAGTAAACTGAGGTTTACCAGGTCACAGATTTGGAAATGCAGGGGGGAGGGGTCACTGTGAAAGCTCTCCTGGATGTTACCAAAAATATGACAGTGGTTGAGATGGTAATCCACTGGGCAGAAGTTGAAATTAGACAAATGAACCTCACATTAAAAGTGAAGGAAATTAGCTACTAGCCAAACTTGAGAGCTGTGGTGGTTTCTTCATCACTGAAAATTTAAGAAAAACATTCAGTGCTGCTCTGGGGGGTGGGGCAAAGGGGGAAGTGTCCAAGGTCAGGAATTAATTTGAGGAAGTCTTATGACCTGAAGTTTGAAAAGCAGATTACATAGATACAGCGATCTTCTTCTGGTCTTGTGATCTGTAAAATTATTATTGCGTTAATACTGTCAAAGCTGTGTTCCTCTAACTTCAAAAAATAAGCAGATACATTAATGGAGACTAGGGTGTTAGCTTATTTGTTATTTCTCTGACTTAGGATTCATTTCATACTTTGAAGAAATGGGTGAAAGAACTAAAAGAACATGGTCCTGAAAACATTGTAATGGCCATCGCTGGAAACAAATGTGATCTTTCTGATATCAGGTAATACATCCATTTTTGTTGTTGCTTTGATTGCAGTAACTATATTGTTTCCTTCCTTCAGGTAACCAATTTGTTTTGTTGTTATAATAGTATAGAATTTTGGTCAGCTGTATTGAGTCATTCCTAATACCGGTGGTTCTACCAATATACAACCTCACCAGCAGCAGCGCAACTTGAGTTGTGTACTTTTCTTTTAACCTTTCTTCTACTGCCCTTCCTGTGTATTTGTACAATCTACATCCTTTAGCTGCTGAATCATTGGGAATGGAAAAGTATTCTCTTTTTTTCCTTCCATTCATCTTAAAAGGTGCAGACTGTATTAAGCGATGAGCGAAACCAGCAATGTAAAGCTAGAAGGATGGGCCTGAGGTAGAATAACGTTATTCACAGAGAAGCTTTGAGAACTTGCGCTTTGCAACAACTGAAACTGTCCCATAGTAGTGGATGTAGAAAGTCTATTTTTGGGTTTTTAGGAGCAAAACCTCAAGTAAAACTTGGGTCACCTGCGTGAAGCAAAGAACCTCCTGGGTAAAAGAGGGGAGGGTTGAATCTGCCCTCCTGCAGAATAGCTGACATGATGCTATTTGGGATGAAAGTGAAGCTAGAGTCACTCTTCTGCTTGTTAGCTCTATTTTGGATTTGTATTTATCCTTTCTGGAAATGGAAGCACATTCTGCTGTGCAGTAGTGATCCTTTGCGTCAGTCCATGACTCTTATTTCTTGCTTCAACTGTGAGTACAGACTCAATGGCCGTATTTGGTGCTTTCCTCTTAGGATCTCATAGGCTCTCATGGTTGTTCAAATAGATCCCCCTGTTGTTTTATAATCATTACCTTGGCCCAGATTCACCAGAGCCCTGAAGCACGTGTGTAACTTCAAGTAAGTGATGCAGTGCTTTATTGAATCAAGGCATATACAAGGATTGGACCTGTGTGGGTTTTTGGGGTTGGTGTGGTGGAGGTTTTTTTGTTGGTTTTTTTTTTCTCTCCCCCTTCCCCAGCCCCCCCATCAGCCATGAACCAGCAGAAAGCTGTGGGTCACTGCTTTCTGTAAGACCTGAACAAGCCCTGATGCTAGAAGACTCCTAGTTTCTGTTGGGCTAAGAATGGGGGACACAGATAGTATATCAGCATCTCCTACCTGATGTTGTGATATGCTTCTCAGCATGTTGAAACTGAGTTCTATAAGACAAAGCAAAACGTTTCCAAATATGAAGTAGAAAAAAAGAGGAAAGGATGATTATAAAAATAAAACTAAACCAGTTAGCACAAATGGGAGTTTTCAGTTGCCCTGAGAGTCACTTTAAATTTATTGCTTAAGTGTTACCAGCAATACAATTGCCTGATTAAATCAAGGGTAATAAGTTTGGAGATTGTGACAAATGGCACCAACTGCAAATGAATCCATAACCAGCCCTCCCCCTGCTTTTGGTAGCATCTGCTGTGGCAGCAAGCTTGTAAATGCTGTTCCACCAGAGGCAGGTTAACTTGGGGACATGAAGAAAAACCTGCACCCCAGAAATGTTGGGAGAATACTGGGGTTCCTCACAGAGTGACTGTGATCTTCCCACCATGTTATTCTCAAACACTACTTGTTTTTTACTGATTGCTGATCATCTGTTTCTTGCTCCTGTTCAGCCAGTACAGCTCTTCCATGCACAAAATGTTCTGGTGTTTGCATGGTCCTCGTTGTCCTCCATAAGCTAATGTCTCATTCTTTTTTTTCTTTTTTTTTTTTAAGGAGGGGGCTTTTTTCTCTGCATAATTATGAATAGTTTTGAGAATACTTTTTTCATGCAGTTATTCTTTCTGCATCCCCCAGCTCTTTTTCTTTCTAAAGTCATCCAGTGATGTCTAGCCAAAGAGTCTGCTCTCTGTTTTTCCACCAAAATCTATCTCGTACGTGATACGTTTTCACAGTTCTTCCAAAAATCTGATTGTTTATGCAATACATGCAGCTGTATGCATTTTCTGGCTGCTTTATGTCTTCAAATTTGCTTCAGTAAAAATGATCTTAGGCGAAATGTGTCACCAATTAATCAGAGTGTTTCCAATAAGTAGAAAATACACATGCACAGAGTATTTAAAAATAAGATGATGTGAGCACACAGGAGCAAGCTGCTGTTTGTATGCATTTTTGGCATCTCTCTTTGGTTTTGTAGAACTTCTGGCAGATGTTTTGCTGGATATCAGAGAGACAGCTGCTTTTAAGACCAACGTGAATAGATGGAAAAGAGGACAAGCTGACCCAGTTCAAGTTGATTTGATTCTGCCATCTGTATGAGACTGTAGGAGATTAATGTAAGGAAGAATGAATGGAAGCAATAAGAACTGATTATCTTCCTTTGGGAAAAGACTGGCTCTATTTCTCATAATCATTGACCATGTTACCCTCCTCATTTAGCATCTAAAATTTGGTTTTGAGCTGCCAAGATGGATTTGGGACACTTAGGGGTCATGCTGCTTTTCTCAGTGTTGTTAATAGGCTATCAGCAGTTTTTGGCACTCTGTTGAAATAAATTTCTTCTCCACTTTGAAGAAATTTCTACAGGTAGACAGGCAATTTTGTTTAGTATAAATCCTCATCTTTGTTACGGTACTGTCAACTCTAGTACTGTAGAGTGTTTGGCATACTTTTAAGTAATAGTAGTAGACTTTTCCTTCTAATATGTGTCCTGTCCTTCTGACAGGTCATTAAAAAGTAGTTTCAAAGACTGGAGCTGAGACTTGAATGTTAAAATGGTATAAGTGCCCAAAATATTTTTTGAGCATTTTAGTCAGTAGTCATAACAGCAACTAAGAAGTGTTTACTTCCCTAAAAATATGGTGCACCTTCTTAGCAAATTGTGTTCACTGGAAAATGCCAGATCCTTGGTTAAGAGAATTCAGCAGAATTTCATGCTCAGATCTTCCCTCTATGCATCCAGAGTAGTTCTTTATTCAGTAATTATTCAGAAAATCTCAAGGGAGATTAAATCAATAGAATGATTTGGAAAGATTAAAATGAAATAATTTACATCTTTCAGAATAGGTATTCCTCTAACTTTCCCTGTAGCCCTGGAATAACACTTTCTCAGCACTCCACTGATGGTTCTTGCCTTCTTCCCTCTTCACCCCATCTTGCATGTATTCATCTCTCGGCTTAGAGGTCAAGCATTTGTGCTTTTCCTTTTTGGCAAGGTAGCATCTTAGCAATATTGACATCTAGATTATGATAACTCCACTTGATGTATGCAGCCTTCTCAGTGTCGACAGCACTGGATGGCATGATGCTTATTGCCCACGTGCTGTGGACATTTATAGGCTTCCTTTAGAAATGTCATCAGAGAAGGCTAAGAAGTTTTGTGATGCTTCCTTGGAATATTATCACTTGCTGCTCTTTTACCTTTTCCTTGATGCCCGAAGTTTGCTTTCTCATCTAAATTACAGCAAGTTGAAAGTCTTCATTACATAACCCTATGCTCTCAAATTTCTTCCTTTACTGTTGTTTGAATATTATGTTAGATAGTTAAGTTCCTTTTTTCTTATCTCCAGGGCCATCCGCAGATGGTGGTACCTTTCATAATAAAGGCCAACGGGCCATTTCAGAAACAGTAGGAGAATGCTGCCTTCCCTGTGTCTTCCACAAAAGACATGTAATACAAAGAAGCAAGTAATGGAAACAAGCTCTGAATCCAGATGCTGGAATTGCAGGCTAATTTTTTGAAAACCATTTGTAATAAATCGGGCAGTTATTCTGCCTCTCTGCATGTTTCCCATGAGCAGCAGATCTGATTTATTTAAAATATATGCCTTTATATTTTATTATTGCCTTTATAGTTTATTATTGCCACAATAAACTAATTGTGAAATTGCATTGCTGTGCTCCCACCTAGGTACCTTCCGTTAAAGTCCAGGGCACTCATACTAGGAGGAAATTGTACTAGGAGTCTCTGGATTGGTACTTCGGAGTTGTGGGGTGAAGGAGTTGGTGCAAATTCTGCGTGTGCAACCGGCATCTATAAAGCCACACAAAACATACCAGCTGATGTGTTGAACAACTGGAGGAAAAATAGTGCTGGCAGCCTGGTGTTTCAACATGTGCTCCCCTGATCGGGTGTACCTTGGGTGCCTGTTAGCATGTTCAGTCTCTGATTCTAAGCTGTTGCTCAAAAATCAGGAATAGCGGTGGGTACAGACAGCAGCGGACACAGACAGATTCAGCTTTGCCACCTGGCTCAGGCAGATACAAGGTCAGCATGGGGCTTGCTTTGCATCTGAAGCAGAGGTCTTTTGCATGTTGTAAACTGCATTTACCAGCTTTTGGCCTATGAAGTATTGGCTACAAAATGAGGATGTTCTACCAGTGATTTTAAGATGGTGTCACTTTGGTGACATGGCACAGAATAGTTGTCTTCCCCCAGTGAATCTGGAACTCCCAGATTGCTCTTGCCAATGTGCTCAGAGTCAGTGGCTTTCATATTTCTTTCAGAATCTCTCTTGTGTTTTTGCTGCTTGCAAACACTTCGACATACGATGCTCTTATCATTTGCTTCCACAACAGTCGTACCCTAACTTGTTTGAACACTTGGTGTGGACAGTGCTGGTTGCTGCCTGGATCAGCAGAGTTGTATGTCTTTTCTCTAGTGTTTTAATGCTTTTCTTATCGGGGTCAAGTTTAAAAAACAAACAAATGGGGCTGTCATTTAAATTATCTTCCTTTTTTCAAGGCATGGATTCAGCAGCAAGTCCAAGAAATCTGCAGATCGCTCACTGGTGAAATTTTGATATTTTGAATACAATGATCTAAGTGCCATAAGAAGGAGGAAGATAGTACTACTTTTGCAGGGAAGAAGAGCATACTAATGCTTTTCTGATTAGGCTTCAGGCAATTAAAAGGAAAATGAATGAAATATCTGGCTGAATGCCAAAGTTTTTTCCCTTTCCCCCCCCCCCCCCCCCTCCAAATTATTTCTTGAAAATTTTGTTTCTTTTATTTGTAAATTTTTTTTTTTGTAGGGAGGTTCCTATGAAGGATGCCAAAGAATATGCAGAATCTATAGGCGCAATTGTTGTTGAAACCAGTGCAAAGAATGCTGTTAACATTGAAGAACTTTTTCAAGGAATAAGTAAGTAAATGTGCCATTTATTTATTTAACTAATTGTGATTGTTTGGAGGTCTTCTGAAAATAGCTGTCTGTTTCGGGTCTAAAAACTTCTTTCCCAAGGACATTAAGAAATCCACCGGGCCAGTAATATGGCTGCTCTTTATGCAGATGTAAACTAAGAATGACTTTGAATACACCAAAGCAAAACATAGTAGATAGTAGCTACAGGGTAAGCCTCTTCCTTCTAAATCTGTATATAAATCCTGACCTGGGTCACATCTTCTGTTTCAGATCAAGCCTGCTGTTGTAGAGGCGATACTGTTGATCTTATCATCATGTTGATAAAGACTTAAATGTTGAGAAATGTGCCTGGAGGGCTATGATAAGTAGAAAATAGTCATTGCAGTGGAATCCGTTTAAAGAAATATTTTCTCTCCAGGTCTTTTAAACAAGATGAGACTGACATTCCTCATGAGGAGAAGAAAAAATGTCTTGTTCAGTTTGCCTTCTAGGGGTTCCAGTTTTGGTCTCTGGCTGCAAGTGGGAAGGACCTTGTGGGCTGGAAGGGACCTCAGGAGACCTTCAGTCCAACTTCCTGCTCGAAGCAGACTTGATAGTTAATTCAGACGAGGTTGCTCGGGCCATTGTCTGGCTGGGCCCAAGAGCAGAGGTTCCACAACCTCTCTGGGCAGCTGAGTCCAGTGTTTAAATAGTCCTCACAGTGGCATCCCCCTCGGTGTATCAAGTCAGAACCTCTCCTGATTAAATTCTCGGCCACCATTCCTCATTGTCCTGGATGCACCTCAGTAAAGAGCCTGGCTCTGTCGTCTTAGCAGCCCTCCCCATAGGTACTGATAGGCGGCTCTGCAGTCCCCCAGAGTCATCTCATCTTCAGGCTGAACAGGTCCCATTTCCTCAGCCTCTCTTCACAGGGCAAATGCTCCAGCCCCCTGACTGTCTTGGTGGCCCTCCTCTGAACTTGCGCCAGTTTGTCAACATTTTTCTTGTATTGTGGGGCCCAAAACTGGATGCATTACCCAGCTTGTGTTAGACCATATCTAGAAAGGGATAACCACTTCACCTGATCTACTGGCTTGGCTCTTGTTGGTATGACTTAGGATGCTGTTGGCCGTCTTTGCTGCCAGGGCACGCTGCTGGCTCGTGCTCAGCCTGCTGCCGTCAGGTCCTTTTTGGCAGAGCTGCTTCCCGGGCAGCCAGTCCACAGCCTGTCTCATAGCCAGGGGCTCTTCTTTCTCACAAGCAGGGCTTGGCATTTGTCCTTTCTGAACCACATAAGGCTCCTGTTGGCCCATTCCTTCCTCCAGCCTAAGGCCCTCTGAACAGCAGCCTTGCCCTCAAGGGTATTGAATGCACCTCTGAGTTGGGTATCATCTGAGGGTTGAAGCGGGTGCATATTTTTTCCTCCTTCAGGCCACTGATAAAAGGCATTAAGCAAGGTACTCCACTTGTATCTACCCCTAGGCCAGTTACATACTGTTAACCATTGGCCTTTAAGTCTGATGATCCAGCCAGTTTTTCACACAGCTAACAGTCTGCCTATCTAGACTATAACATCCCAACTTGGATATACCAGGATGCAGTAGGAGAAAGTATCGAAAGCCTTGCTAAAGTCAAGGTAGACGACATCCAACACTCTCCCTCAATCACAGATCGAGTCATACTATCATTTAGGGCAACCAGGTTGGTTGGACATGGTTTACCCTTGGTAAGTCCATGCTGACTGGTCCCGGTCACCTTCTTCACCTTCATGTGCTCAGAAGCAACTTCTGAGAGGATTTGCTCCATGGTTTTCCCAGGAAGCAGAGTGAGGCTAACTAGCCTGTAGATCCATGGCTTGTTACTGCTCTTTTTGAAGACAGATGTAACGTTCACCTTTCTTCAGTCATAGGGGACCTCCCTCATTCTCCACAACCTTTCAAAAATAATAGGGATGATAAAGAATGGCCTTGCGGTGACATTGGCTTGCTCCCTCTGCATCCTCAGGCTTGTACGGGTTGAGATTTCTTAAGAGTTCCATGACTTGATCCTCTTCCACTACTGGTGGTTCCTCCTTTCCCTGAATCCTGTTTTGGGGTGTGGAGGCCTAGGAGACAGCATGTCCAGAAACTCAACTTTGTTTCCCTAAAGTCTTTATTTTATTTTATTTCACATATTCATAATCAGCTCATATTATCTACCACGCTTTGCCTGAGACAGGGCCTGTTCAAGTGTTTGATTTGCTTACATGGGATGTATTTAAAATGGTTAACAAGAACCAATATTCCTAGAACACGCTACCTTTCTTTTACCTCCTTTAAAAAAGGAGTGTGTAACATGGCTGTCTGGAGGAAACGGTTCTTCCTTGTGATAGTTTACTAGATTGTCTGTGTCTGATGGTTGTGAATGTTCTCGCGGAGGAACTCATCCTTGCCATGTAATTAGATAATTAGTTTCCGTCTTTGATAGGTAATGCTGCAGCTGGCAGCATACATTGTCCCTAATAATGGATATAATAGACAAGGAAAATCAGCTAAATTAAGTTTAGTATGAACTAGATACCCAGGCAAGTGCACTTAATTCCACAGGCAATTATTTCTATATATAGAAATATTTTGTCTCAGTGGATGTACTTGTGACCTTATCAAGTACTCAGCAGAGAGAAAGGGGAGAGTTGGTAGTGTATGTTTATAGAAATATAGTGGAAACCAAGTGAAAAATGCTTAATTAGCAGGAGAATTAATTAGTATGATTGTGACTGGGCAGAGGGTATGGATAACTTTCTGATGTTTTACACCAATTCAGTCTTTGTGCAATTTCCAAAAAAGTCTGTTTATGCCCAAGTTGCATGGCAGCATTTCTGCCTTTTCAGTGTGTGAAGTCCCTCTCTAGCCATGTCTCCTACCCTGTTGACTAATTTTATTTGTGTGGTGCCCTAGAAGTCATGCTGCAGCTTTAGTTTGCTTTCACGCTGCCCGAGAGTTCGTGCCCTTCTCTTTGTGCTGCTGTAGAAGGGCATGGTGCAGCTCCCCAGCCTCCGAACAGGGAGACGGCAACTTCAGTTTACCTTGGATCTTGAAGGTAGATTGTATGTATTGCCTATTTTACAGCCTGGATTTGGAAGGATATTCCAACATGCGTGGAGAATTTCTCCATTAAAAACCTTCTTGAAATTGATACCCCAAACAGAAAGGGTAGACTACATTTTAATTTAGCTAAAAAAATTACCTCCTGCTTGCTTATGCTTTTCGTTTCCCAGGGGTATTTTAACATAATCATTTTTCCTTCCTAAGGTGTCTAACAACTGTCTCTTTTTCCAGGGAAAATGTTGTGAACAGAGTGAAATAATATAATGGGAAGATTTACTCAGCATAATGATACAAAGAAGGCGGAAAATAAAAGGGGAACTGGGATGTTTTGGTGACAACCAGATAAATCTTGGAAAAATTATAGAGATTATAGACAGATAACTTCATTTCTAAGGTTATTATATTACACTATTTTTAAAAGATTTTTTAAAAATAAGTTTCTCCCAGGATTTGAGGATTTGAGTGCTTTGAGGGATGTCTTAATAACACAGTCTCAACACAAATCCATTGTCCTTAATTCTTCTCAAGAAAATACAAGACGTGAAAGACTAGAATCAGTAAAAGTTTCTGATTTTTTTGAAGATGGGGCAAATCTGGCAGGAGAGGGATTCTGCAGTCAGTGTACTCAGGCGAATAAGGCTGAGAAGGCAGACCGAGCACAAGAGTCAGCAACGTTGGTGTTCTCCGTGCTGGAGAGTTTTCACTGAGCTGCGTAATGGGCTGCAGCTCCTGGCTGTCTGTTGTAGCCCTGTGATTTCAGATGGCAAGCCACTACACTTACCCTGGTTATGTTTAGCAGCGCTTGACTGAAGGCTTGCTGTGATCGTGAAACATCACATGGCTGTCTTATTTCTCTGCGAAGAAGAAAAGAATATTTTTAGTACAGTTGTATATTCCCCACTTGGGCTAAATTTTTCCCGATGTCTGTCTTGAAAGGTTTTTGACATAAAAAGGGCTTAAGACTATAGTGGTTTTTCATGTGTTCCAGTAGGTCTTTTTTAATAGCTGAGTGTCTATAGGATCAAATGTTATTAATTTTTTATTCCCAGCCTTAGAAGAATCATAGGCACAGTGGCTCCTTGTTGCTGGCTTATACTTCAGCAGCAGCAAATATGCCAGGAATGTATTATATGATAGCAGTATAATACAGTATGAAGTTGTGCCTGTGCAGGGGGCATACCAGTTCTGTATTGCCCCTTCTCGGTTGTGGGACTTTAGTCCACTGACCACTGCTTGTGCTTGGGAAGGCAGCTTACCCTTTAAAACTGGCTGGTTTTCAGTGACTAAACAAGCTGCCCCAAGTGTACTGTCATTTAGTAGCAATCACGCCCTCGTAATTCTCAGACACCCATTCATTTAACAACTCGAATAAGCCTTAGTCACCTTATTCAAATCTAGTACACGCCCAGTTGTTTCTCTTCAGCCTGTGTATTGCCTGTTTACCTTAGCGTGAAGGTGCCCCAGATAGGAAAGAGAAGATTACATAAAAGCCATCCTCTGTAAATCATAGAATCATTTAGGTTGGAAAGGACATTGAAGATCAGATAGAGCTGAGACTGTACCGCCCAGGTCAATACCAGTCTGCATCAGCAGGTCCAAGGGTAAACAGGCAGTGGGATGAGTAAGCCGCTGAAGAATACCTAGCCGAGTGAAATATGAAATAAACTTGTGTTAAGCAAAAGAAACAAATGGTGGGCATGCATTATTTTTTGAAGTCTGGCAAATGTTGAGGACTGGTGTGCTACCAAAGGGGGCAAGATTGAAGCATTTCAGCATCTTCTGTCAAAGGTGAGAGGGAACTGAGGAATAAGATTATCAGAATTGCTCTGTGGAAAGTGTCTAAAGAGTTGTTAGCACACTCGGTCTTACTGATGCTAGTACTACAAGGAGGAGAGACTGTCTTGATGTTTAAAAATCCAGATAAGGATGTTCTTC